TTTTTCGGTACAAAAAGGGAGGCTATTGCCTTAAACTACGATATTTCGAGGATGGGCTATCCCGAGAACATCATGTTGAAGCCACGGTTTCACCCCCGTGGGAGGGTCATCAAGTATATGGAGACCGCCCGGCATGGTTGATGCTAGGGATGCAAGATAATCCGCTGCAAAATTTACCTCACGGTAGATATGTCGGACCCCCACATTCCATTCTCTTCCTAAGAGCTCCTTAATACCCATAATAATGCTGCTATGAATACCCGTGTGTTCACCATTGTGAAGCACCAAATCTACGACGTTTTTGCTATCCACTTCCGCAATCACCAGACGGTGTCCCAACCTCCACGCTAAATTCAAGCCTTGGAAAAGTCTCATAATTCCGCACCTAAGACTGAACAAAACCCGATATTCATTGCAAAACCGGACACCCACCTACCATCTTCGTCCCGTAGCAGACCCCCCGTCGAGGCCATTCCTGAATGACGATTGAAGGCCCCATCTGAGTTTAGTTTAATGCAGCCCGCCGCCGGCTTGGCCCACGAGAGCAATCGGGGTTCTCTCCATGAAATTGCTGCACCTAAACTTTTCGCGTGCAGAAAGGTTGAATTACACCCTTCAACTTGTCTATCGATTGCCGCCACACGTCCATGAATGTTTAGCCCCGCTTTCTCTAATATGTAGGAGTTTCGCCCACGCCAGATGTTCCATAAAGTGACCCCAAAAACACAGCTCCAATTCTCCACCTGAATATTCAAAATATTACGAATATTGAGGTGCAGCCATTCACGACTGTAGTAGCAACTTTACATCTTGAGTGTACTCTTATTAATATATTTCTCGTTTGATTAAAAAAAAAAAACCTCGTTTGATTAAAAAATAAATAAACCCACATGATTTGACAAAACATATGTGAGAGTTTTAGACATCATAACTATTAGGCGGGACGAACCGTCTTATTCCATGAACAACAGCGAATATTTATATTATCAAATGTCATATTGTTTTTTCATGACTATCTATAACATTTTTTAAAAGGTTAATTGTTAAATAAATTTTAATCTTTTCGTGTTTAGTAATTTTATCATAATTTTTGGGTAATTGTAATATAATCTCGACCTCAATTTACTTATTGCAAATTTGGATGCATAGTGATTGATTTTAAAGATTTGCGGATCGATTGTGTGTCCAAGTCTTCCATTGACACGGTTTTTATACTATCCACGTAACAAGTTGACAATTTCCACGTATTCAAAGTATATCCACGCACAAAGTCGAAAATTCCACGTCAATGTAAGCTACCGGGGATGAGTCTCCTCTTAGATCGGGAGTGAACTGGTAAATATGAGCTCCGATCTGTTCGAACCGCATTCAAATCGACCAGTTTTTTGAAGGTCCAACCGGTTTTAAGTTCGACTTGCAATAAGTAAATTGAGGTCGAGATTATATTGCAATTACCCAAAGATTGAGATAAAATTGCCAAACGCAAAAAGATTAAGGTTTATTTAACAATTAACCCTTCTTTAAATAATGACAATTTCTAATAAACATATGCATATTTATGAAAAAAAAAAATATATGTTGATTTAATGGTTATGCCTCTTGTAATATCAAATGTTAACTAGAAAATCCGTCATGTGTGCCAAATTACTTTACATATTTAAATTTTTTTCATATATCTAAGGGATGAACTCTTTTAAATTGTTGTAATAATCCCACATTATATATCAAAAGTTAAAATTATATTTAAACTATGTAATTTGACTTATTTATTCTTTTCTTTTATAAACTGAAAAAATAAAAATGCTTTGTATTATTTCAATTATTTTATTGAATCTATAAAAAATATGAGATACTGTAATCAAATTTATATAATTTTCCATATGAACAACTGATGGGAAAACAATTTCAGAAATAATAAAAGAAAACTATAATTAGTTTTATATAACTTTCATATTGATTCATAAAGAGTTCGCATTAGGGTCCACAACATAAAAATAACTAGTAATTAGTATATCATAGTGGTGTTGATTAAAAATTATACTTAAATTTCAAAAATATAATGAGATTTTTTTTAAGATTCATTTTTTTAGGAAAAAAAAATGCATTACTATTTGTATTTAAAATTATAGAAGTCATTAGTGGGACTTATCTGTCCTATATTATTAATTATAATTTTTTTCTAGTTGATATTATATAATGACTTGTTAGATTAATTTTTTCAATTGATAAATAATTTTATTATTTTTCAATTAATATTGATAAATAAATTTCTTTTTACCATAAAATTAAATAAATTTATTTATTGAGGTGTATATGCAATTGGTACAATACTCGTGTACTACACGGGTGTTGAGTTAAGAAATATATGACAAAAGTTATTGCTAAAATAAAAATTTTATTTACAAATTTTGATAAACTAATTGATGAAAAAAAAAAAAGAAATAAACAATGCTGAAAGTGATTTGTAAATCATAATTTAAGAGATAAATATGAGAAAAAAAATTATAAAATGGTAAAAATACTACTTGCCCAAAATAAGAAGAAAATGTGTATTAAGAGAAAAAAATAAAATTAAATATACACTTACCTAGTTTGGAAAAAATTATTTATGTCTAATACCAAGTCTAATTCTGGAGCAAAAATTAATATATAAACAACATTACGAAGCATAAATTTTCGTCATGTCAGCATCTGAAACGTGCGAGTCTACCATTTAGGCTCAACACGTTTTGAAGTAATATCCATGGATGTATATGAATCAGTAATGCTCACCTACCCACGGTAGGCACATGTTAATATGTCCACCGTTTATGTGGCATGCACACATTGGTGATGTATTTTTTTTGAACATATTAACATCACCAATGTGTGCATGCCACATAACCGGTGGACATATTAACATGTGCCCACCGTGGATTGGGAGAAATTACATAATTGTTTGGTAGTGTGTATTAAACAAATATCTAATGTGCCTTCGTCTTGTCTTTGTACCGAGAAAAAAACTACTCTAATCTGAGGATGGGGACGAGAACAAATTTCTACAAGAATCCTTCGTTTGCATACAACAAGCATTTCAACCTCAACTCCGTCCTTCAAAACCTCAATTGTAATCCCAGATTCATACTTCTGTAGCTCTCTTGTTTTATGTTTTCAATCAATTTACTGAGTTTTCTCCAATTTTCAGCTTATAATATTGCCACCGGAAACGCTCCTTCCGACGAAACAGCCACCGTCGTGCAACAGAAGCGCTGCCGCAAGTCGAGGCCACCGCCCGATCGACAGAATGAAGCGGAACATATTGACGGGCCCATGTCCCACCAGGAGTATATTGCAAAACGGAGGTGGGATTTTCAGTTTTTGTTCTGTTTTGCTACATTATGTGGAAATTTATTAATTCTTGAATTCAACCGTGCACCCTATTTATATTTTGTCTGAAATGGTTTGCTGGTAACCTGAAATAAGTAATGGAGCTCAAAATCAGCTCTGTTTTTTCGTTTGTGATTATTTTTGGGCAAACAAATTCTCAGTTGGTTAATTAAACTTATACTGCCGCGGTGTGGAAAGCAAACAGCTTGACTGGTGTCAACAAGATTTTGGGATCCATGGTAATGCCATTGAGTTGTAAGCTTCAGGAAAAACTCAAGTGCATTGTGGTAGGGTAATTTAGTGTTTTCTTGAGTTGGGAGGGCAGTTTGCTTGCATTTTGATTTTAACTCGTTTGATTTTCGTTCTCGATTGCTCGTGTACATAAATGCTAGTCATTCTCTTTATATATGGGTTACATTTTTTAAGTTGAGGCATTCATGTTTGCATTAATCCCTGCATTTGATTACCAGGAAGGAAGTTGATTCATCTCAACCTTACCATGAGTTGACTGCAGATGTGCTGGTACTCTTACTTGACTAATTGACTTCTCCTAAATTTTAAATTTTGTACATTATTCTTTCATGCATTGATTTTCCAGACTAATCAATCCTTGCAGGAAAGTTCTAGTTCAGCTTTGAACTTGGTTGGGTATGAAAGTAAGTTCCTGTTGCTTTTTCAGTGTTCAACAATCATTTACTTTAGGAAGTTTGCCGTTTGATTTGAGATTTTTGATATTGTTTGTCCACAACAAGTTTGTTCATGGTGAGTCATTGATGAGGCAACCGGAATGTTTTTTAAGTTTAGTCATCACACTCGAGCTATAGTCTGCCCTTAGTGCAATTGATGTGTTCAATAGAATGTGACCTTTCAGTACTAGCAAAATCCGCTTGCTCGTTTAAATTTTAAAAAATCATGGCTGATCTCTATAAGTTGACTGCTGTCATATTGGATTCTTCTTGTGACATTTAAATTTGTGTTTTCCCATTATGCTTGGATCTTTTGGTACATGCATTTACAAAACTACAAATTCAAGGAATTTCAATTTACATAGCTTGTATTGGAATCTGTTCGATTTATTTATCTACTAAATACTGAACACAGTGAAGGCCTTTATTTCTTATACTTATTTCCCACTTCTCTTTTTTCTTCCTTTTTCTTTTCTCATCTTAAATACTACTCAGCATGTTGCTTTCTGCAGTATTATTATCTACCTTTGAGTAAGCAACAACTTCTAAGAATTAGGTATATGCTTTATTTGTCCTCTGAACAAGAATTGCATATTTTTCTCAGTAGCTGATAGGATATTTACCAGCTTTTAGGCATTTCCTTCTAACTTAACAGTGTTATTTGCTTTACTTCGTTTTCAATATTTGCTTCTCTTTTAAGCAGAGATTAGCTTCTTGTTCATTATTGTGGTACTGCTAAAACATCATGAATCTCGACACGCATGTTTTTATCTCCACGAGTAATGACCAAAACACGCAGGTGATAGAAGTTCTTCTGCTGAATGTGAAGAGGACCAAGATTCTCCAAGAAATAAAGAAGAGCAACTGAATTATAGGTCTGGAATGCAGTACTTTCCAATTTCTGGTGCGTTTTTTTTTATTCTCTTACCTGATCATTTCCATTCAAGTCACTCATGTATAATCACTTTTTCCAATGGTATTGTGCTGTCATGTGAATAGTCGAGTAGATCTATGAAACCAATTCACAGACTCCAGAAATGGTTGTGCTGGATGACATGGTTTACTTTTCGAGAGAACTTGAACTAAACAATATCAGTTGTGAACGAATATATTTTTTTTGATGAATTAAATCAGGTTTTTAAATCAATCTTGTGGTGTCTATCTAGAAGCTAAATGGATAAACTGTTAACGTTGATCTCTAGAATCTAGATGAATTTACTATAGCGTGGAGTTGGCGAGAAGTTTAATCAACTGATATATGTTCAGTGCCCTAAGTAATTCTCAGTGGCAAAATTTCGTCTTGAATAAGCCTGGTAGTTGGCAATTCAAAATGAACCTGATGCAAAATGAATGAGAACTTTGTTAAAGCTTATTCATCTGCATCTGAACCTGTTGAATAATCGTTGCATGAATGAGCATGAGAAATTATTATGTTCTTCTGGTGTCACTAATGGATGTGTTGAATACTAAGCCTGTGTAGAGAATGACCAAATCAAAGCAAGAAGTGAGCAGAGGTATACTGCTCCAGGAGAACCTGTGTGTGTTGTATGTGGAAAGTATGGGGAGTACATATGTAATGAGGTGAGACCTTTGATTTGTACTTCTTTACCTATATAATCTTTTTTTTTTTATTAATTTCCAACTCTTATGTTTGCTACATCTTCATGTAGACAGATGATGATATATGCAGCATAGAATGCAAAGATGAACTTCTTCAGAATAGTAAACTTCAGCAGGTTCTTCTTTTCATAAGCCATTACTGCTCCTCATTGTTTTCTTTTGAAAAAAGAAAATCTTTTGACTAATAGCTATTCTTCCAGGAACAGCCAATTGGCCAAGACCCTCTTGGACCTTTCTCTTCACGCAGATGTACATTGGAGGTGCCGGAATTTGGTGGGGACAGTTGGGATTTTGACCGCCATCGCTGGTCCAAGAAGAAATCTGGTCTTTGCACTTATGAATGGTACACATCACTATTTCTATGCATTTTGAAAGATGTCATTGAGAGCTTTTCTGCTTTTGCCTGCAAAGTGCAGAATGCTAGGACTCTTGCTATTGTTGCATTCTCATGATCATTAAGTGTTTTCATTTTAATTTAATTTCGATTTTGTCGTGCTTATGCAGTTGGAAATGTCAGAAGCCTGGGCATCTTGCTGAAGACTGTTTAGCGTCGGCATCTCATTCTGATTTCAGCGCTGCTACTGAAGCATACAAAACTGTAATTATTTTCGTGATATATACACATGCGAATTTTTGTGTTGATCTTTTAAGTTGAAAGCTATGATACACGTGGCTTCTTCTTCGCAGGGATCTGTTCAAATTAAATCCAAGACAATATCCAGAGATCTTCTTAACTTATACAAAAGGTTCCGACAACATTATCGCACTTCCATATGTTGATTCCATCTCAGGCATCCTTTTCATTATCCTCACTCCACGTGTCATTCTATCGCCAAATTATATATAATTCACTATGTTCTTTAACTGATTTGGTCTGTAGATGCAGTGTTGTAGTCCTTCTATAATTTAATCTGAACATTCTTGTTAAGTTGACAGATCTGAAAGCGAGTTTAACACGAACTTTTTATACTTGCTGAGAAGTAAAACCTCCAAGTTTGTGTATATAATATAAATGAGTGGCCTGAGAACTCATCATGGCAAGTCTCGTCTTCATTTGGCCAACAGGATGCGATTCATAGTTTACATCATCATTGTGTGTCTATAAACAAGAAGATGAAATGAGTTGCTCATATATTTGATACAAGAAGTTATATGATTCTAATGCTACGCACACACTGCCTTATTTAGTCATTGTTGAAATGCAGGTGCCACCAGATAGGGAAAAAATATTTGTCTGCAAATTGTAACTCGTGTCGTGGGTCAACCTCTTTGGCCGCATGCATAAGCTGTGACGCTGCATTTTGTGACTGGTAAGCTTGATATATATCTATGCGTCAATTAAAATTCCTTGGCTAATCGAAGGTCAACTAAGTTGGTGCTTGTTTTCATTTACTGAAATTATTGTTCTGGATTACATACCACATGAATCTTGCTTATTTTTCTAATCATACGACAAGCTATATAATTGTTCTGTGCACTTTTATATTTCCATCACATTCTGGTTGGTGAATATGGAATATTTGGATCCATATTAGTGGATTTTCTTTCATTCTGAAGAAAACTCGTGGTTGTTGCATAGATGCGGAAAGATCTTATGTTGGTATCATTTTTGCAGAATCAGATCTTCAGTGCTTATTTCTGGCATAATTTACTTTGTTGTATTATAAAGTATTTCTTGAATTTGGATATTGACGGAAGGAATTACTGATGATAATGGAGCTTTTGCAGTGCAGGTCATTTGAATGAACATATCAGGGATAATCCAACTCATCAACAATATTATTCGTACAAACTCAAACGTCTGGTAATAATTGAATTGATATTTTGTAAATTATGATTGGTTTTTATCATACTGTTATGTGCTAGATCAACCATGACCCACTGAAATATGTTTTTGTGAAAATCAGTATATTAGAATTGTAAAGGCTTGAATTTTGCTGCGGTTCGACGCACTTCCTGTTCTTTTGCTACAGAGAAGAAAAAAAAGATCCCACCAATGTATACACTATCCACTCACTCTTCATTTTTTCTCTCGTCAGTCTCATTTATACGATCTGCAAGAATGAACCAATCAATGACACAGTTCCCAACCAAATTCTCTATTTACCCTCTTCATATGCTCGATTTACTACAAATATGCAAAATCAAACTAATTGTGTATGTTGGCCTTTTTGTCATTGTAAATAAATGTACATTGAGTGTGAGTATCTATTACAGGTCAAATGCTGTAAGTCAACTTGCAAAGTAACTGGCATCAGGGATCTCCTAGCTTGTCATTATTGTTTTGATAAAGCATTCGACAAGTTTTATGATATGTACACTGCAACTTGGTAAGTGCATTCATATCTACTTCCTAATCTTATTTCTCGCCTGTTTTTTATTTTCTTTCTTTCCCGTGACTTCTGTCCAGAATCATAACTGTTTTTTTTCTTCCTCTTATAAGTGTTTCTATATGAAATTGAATGTGCTTGATAGGAAACCATCCGGACTATCGATAATCTGGAATTCTATTTGCTGCGAAGATCACTTTGAATGGTTAGTTAGTGCTTCAACAGTAACCAGTGAATTTTCGCTGTAGACATTCAGCATTTTCATTTTTATAGATTGCACATTCTCATTCCTCAGGCACCGAATGAACTGTTCGAGCGCGGGTGTAGAGGACAGTGCCTGCATTTTGAGACAAAAACATGCCCCGAATGAGAAACATGTGCAACTGAATGACTTTATATTCTGATGATGAAATAGGACCCTAATTTTCTTACCAACAATTATGACTCAAATCTTTTCCCAACTGATGGGAAGTTTTTGTGTATTTGCTATTAGTTTATACAATCTATGGTATTTTGTATTCAGCAACATTTCTTCAGACAAAATTCTGCCTATAAACTGAAAAGTTCAGTAGTTCTCACAAAAAAAGCAGAACATCTTTACATAGTATACTAGCTTCTTCACCGCTCCTAACCAGACATTCTCAGTCAACATTCAGATATAAATCGGATGCAACACTGAAATCGCTACTGGTAGGAGTAGAACAGAAAGACAGCCGATCATTCCCTGAGATGCCCATCTCCCGCCATTTATTAATGCACGCCAATTTCTCCGGATCCGAACTCGGAACTCGTTGCCGGCCAATAATTTCCAATATCCTTTCTGTTTTCCCGAGCAGAAGAATCGCGTGCCGCACGCTTTCCTCCCTGTGCTCTATACTGGTCTGATGGCACTTCACCGATATCGCCCGCTCCAAATTCGTAAGGCAAGCACCGATTATCTCCCCAATCATGGCACTCAGCCTCTCGAACATCGACTTCCCACACTCGTCCGATTTGTCCAGCAGAAGTGTCTCACACACTCTGTACATTGCATTTGCCGCCAAAGCCTTGACGGGCCATCTCGCTGGATCATACCTCAAACACCCAATCGGGTCTTTCTTTCTCAACTCCACGAACTTCTGCTTGGCAGTCTCGGAAAGCTCCGAGATTACATGTTTCGGGCTCTTACCTCGAAGCCCCGTCTCGCGGAGGTCCAGGTCGAGCCATCTATAGTGAAGCTCGACTCCCACCCACACGATCTCGGCTGCTTTCCTAACATTTGTCGAAGTTTGCTTTGCATCGAGACTGTTCTCCACGACTCGGATGTACTTGAGACCTTCGTTCACGCATTTTATGAGCTCCCGCACGGAATTGAAGTCCGAATCGGTACTCGTTGCAACTGCAATGCTCGTTAAGGTGACCACCGGTAAGGCCCAGCTCTTGGGGGGCTCTGCCGTGGGATCTAAAGGCGGGACAAATTTGCTGTCGAATGCATAAACCCCTCCGAACCCCTGAGAAGGTTCGAGTTTCTCCATGATATGTAGAAGGTGTTTCGGCTGCTTTTTTCTCCCCATTTTCAAGAAGTATCCTGTGGTGTCGTTGTCGCATTCCATCATCACGTCAACCAGATTTTCCTCTCCCTCGAGGTGCATTACGTATTGGCTGAGGTCGAGCTTCCTGTTCGACTTATTCCGGTCCGACGATTCTGTGTCGGCACACTTTGCATTGCATCTAAACAACGAGACGAGTCTCTTGCTGCAGCAACTCAGTGCCGCCATTAACCTGCTCATGATAATTATCGACAGCAGCCCGAGAAACTTGCTCGAGATCACAATCACCTTCTGGACCAAAATGCATAGATCCAAGGCTTTGTTTTTCAAATGGTGCACGAACTTTTTACCGTGCCGGCTGCAGATCCTCATGTCCAGCGGGCACTCCTTCAGTTGGTTCAATGTCTGAACCCAGTAATTTTCCACAGAAAACATAGCTTCAGAATAATTCTTCCTTCTCTTCAGGCACCTGAATTCTCCATTGAATCGAATTTCAGAATTGTACTACTTAATGTGTAAACACAGAACACAAATTAATCGACTGGAATTCCAATTACCTGAACTTGATGGCGAAGAACCATCTGGAAGCCGGCCCAATCGTCCCCACCAACACCGCGGCAGCCTGAGTCACAAGCACCAGCAAAACCGACCACTTATAATCCGAATGGCCTTTGCAGAATGTGAAGCACCACGGCATGAAGTAGCTCCGGAGCATGGCCTCTGCCAAAGTCACGGCACTCAGCAAGCAGTACGCGCCAGAGGCCGTGCAAGTGGCCAATCGGCCCACCACGAACTGCGGGCTGCACGTGTGGGCCATCATCCAGTACCTCGCGAGATCGTCCTTGAGATCCGACGACCCGCCGCACTCTGTTTTCGCGAGCTCGTATTTCTTGGCGTACTTGAGCTCGAAGTAGCATTTGGTGGCGGGGACTGCGAGGGCCGACGAGATGGTGATTCCGAGGAGGATGAGGGTGAGGGAGATGATGAGGATGTGCTCGGGCAAGAAGACGTAGATGACGCCGGTGGCGAGCTGGATGGCGACGTTGACAAGGACGGTGATGACGAGGATGGAGAGGGCGAGGATGTTCATCATGAGGTCGGAGGAGGAGGAGGAGGAGCCGAGGGAGGGAAGGGAGTTGGCGATGGCGGTGGAGAGGAAGGCGGTGCTGCTGAGCTTGGAGAGCTGGTCGTGGGGGCGGGGCATGGAGGTGTTGAGGTCGACGGAGAGCTTGACGGCGACGCCGATGAGGGTGAGGGTGGTGGCGTTGAGGGAGAAGAAGCGGGAGGGGAACCAGCCCTTGCGGTAGCGGAGGGCGTGGGCGGCGTCGGCGGCCATGGCGAGGGCGCAGGCGGCGGAGGCGGAGGCGACGTAAGCGCCGATCCAGGGCATGGGCTCGTTGAACTTGGAGTCGTCGAGGGTGCCGACCGCCGTGCAGCCGAGTCGGCCCATGGTTTAGTTAGGGTTTTTCGTGGTGATCTGAGGCGGAGGTTTCTTTCTATCTGGATCCTTCTGGTTATTATCAGTCACGGACGGACAGTCGAATTTGATCTCTTCGTTTCTGACCTTTTCAACATTTTTTTTTTTTTTTT